CAAGTTCCGTCCTTATCGTACGAAAGATTTTGTTAAAATCGAAGTTTTAATCCGCTGCACTAATTCACCCCCCCCCCTCTTAGTGCCGCTCCGATCCTAACAGGATGTTCGCCGGAAGTTCGTCGGAAGCTCGCTAGAAGAAGCGATTGACGCACCGGAGCAAGTTGTAGTAAATGTCTTAAGAAATGTCGTAGTTAGAATGTAGATTAAGTTAATAATGGGAGGTGATCCCATTAACTTAATCTGAGGGCAATTGGGCCCTTGACAGATCCAAATTGGGCCGAATGGATTAATCCATTCGGACCAAAATTCCTACCAAGTGGGGGCACCGCCCAGGAGGCAGTCTCCGAGCAAGATTGGGCGGTGCAACCGCCCCAGTCAGGCGATGGCACCGGCTGGGCTCAGTCTCCGAGTGAGATTGGGCAGTGCAACCGCCCCTGACAAGTGGTGGAACCGCCTAAGCTCGGTCTTCGAGCTCTGCCAGGCGGTGCAACCGCCCTTATCAGGCGGTGGCACCGCCTAGAGGCTCAGTCTCCGAGCTGTCAGGTGGTTGTACCACCCTAATTAGGAGGTGGTACCGCTAGGACCCCGAAAATCCGGGAAAAGATATTTTTGAGCTCCAAATTCAAACCAGTTTGGGGCCTATATATACCCCATCCTTTCCTGCATGAAAGTGCACCGAAAGCTTGATCTTACTCTATGATTTTAGAGCTAAAAAGTGTTGTAAAGTCTAGAAGTTCTCCCCCCTCTTTTCTTCCAAGTTTTGATCTTTCAAGAGAGGAGAGAAAAGTTTGTAAGGGTTGTCTCCCTGAGATGAGACAATTTTGGCTCCAAATTTGAATCCATTTGGGGCCTATAAATACCTCACTCATCCCTGCTCGATAGACACATAAATTGAAAACAAAAATTAGGGAAAACACTATTTTAATCTTGTGAGAATTTTCCTCCTCTAGCTATAAGTGTTAATTTTCAATTTAAGAGAGGGATGAGTGGCTTGTAAAGGTTATCTCTTAAACCCGTGAAAAGAAAAAAAGAGTTGTAAGAGGGTAATTGGTCTTCGCCCATTGAAAAAAGACCGTTATTGGACGCTGGTAGCCTCAACGAAGGAGGAATCGAGAGTGAACGTAGGTCTCAACGATCGAACCACTATAAATTTAGTTTGCATTTACTTTATGTTTTTTATTTACATTGCAAACTGATTTCTTTCTCTCACTACACTTACGAACGTGCTTTAAAGTTCAACTCTTTTCCAATATCGATTTTCATTGAATGAGAATTTTCAAACCGATGTTTCTTACGAAAGTACTAATTCACCCCTCCTCTTAGTGTTGATTTCGATCCTAACAATATGATGCTTTTTTAATAATTTATATTTTTTACCAACTAATTTATATTCATCAAACAAGTCATGAAAAATATTAAGTAATTCATCATAAGGTAAATTAGTTTCGGTTGAGTCGCATACCTCATCATTGAGAGTCATCAATGCGTAGTTCACCACCTCGTTTTCATTGGTTTGCTCCTCATCTTCGGAGGAGCTCGATTCGTCCCAAGTCACCTTAAATGCTATCTTTTTCTTTGGCAGCTTCTTCTTCAATTGAGAACATTTACTTTTGAAGTGTCTCGGCTTCTTGCATTCGTAGCAAATGATTGTGTCTTTTTTAAGTTCATTTTTGTTCTTATTATCTTGTTTTACAAAATTTATTTTGTTTCTTCTTATAAATTTTTTAAAATTTCTTATTAGAAGTGTTAATTCCTCATCATCACTTGAGCTTTCGTTCGAGTAGTCTTCTTTAGTTCTAAGTGTCATATCCTTCCTTTTTTTTGGAAGGTTGTTCTCATGTTCATCGTATTTATCATGTTTATTATGTGCCTTGCACGTCATTTCATAAGTCATTAATGACCTTATGAGTTCATCAAGTGAAAAATAATTCAAATCCTTTACTTCTTGAATAGCAGTTACTCTTAGGTCCTAATTTTTTAAAAGAGATCTTAGAATTTTATTAACAAGTTCAATATTAGAAAAACTTTTACGAAGAGCTTTCAAATAATTGACGACATTGTAAAATAGGTGTACGTGTCTCTAATGGTCTCGCTTGTTTCATTATAAATAATTCAAAACTATAAAATAAAATATTAATATTAGACTCTTTAACTCTACTTGTGCCTTCATGTGTTACTTCGAGTGTGTATCAAATGTCAATGTGTAGTTTCGTTTATAGAAACACGATTATATTTATTTTTATCTAAAGTATAAAATAAAGCATTCATAGCTTTCGTATTTAAAGAAAATGATTTTTTCTGTAAATCATTCAACTCATTCATTAGTGTAGATGATTTTTGAAAACCATATTCGATAATATTCCATAAATCAAAGTCTATAGAAATCAAAAAAATCCTCATACGAGTTTTCCAATACGTATAGTTCGTTCCATTGAACATAAGAGGACGAGTGATAATGTGACCCTTAACCTAAAATATGAACCTATTAACACTAAAACCAAGGAAGTTTGATTTTTTATAAAGCTTAATTCTCTTGATGTGAGGACTTAGAATGTTATCAGCCTTTTCACCAAAACATCACATTATGAAAAAAAAAAAGTCTTACTACATTATTTGTTACATAATTGTAAATCAAATCGTTGGTCCAGAATAAATTATGCTAAGCATGAGAATAAGGTCAAAATCTTACACGAGCAAATAAATCAAACAACAAAAACAGCTAAATCAGTATCCCTCAAGGGGATAATATCATCTTGACCACATGCTGATAAAATTCTTTTGATGTTAAACAAAGAGGCATTGGGTTAAATATTTAAAAGATGACAATTGATCCACGTCGTGGATGATAAGAAACTGTCTAGAGGGTGTCAAAGCTTACGTGAGAGGAATGAAAGAACTACATTAAGTGTTCCCATTGGCCTAAGTAACGGCTTTAGAAAGTAGTAACATGAGGTTGGCTTGCCAAAAATATATGTTCAAATTCATAAAGCGAACAAAGAGATAATGATGATTCTAAAGCATCAAACAGGATATTCTTTAAGATAGCTAACTAAGACCCTCTGACAAGATAAAAACATTAAGTGTTCTTGATACTGGGTAATTAAATAGCTCCTTGCAATATAAGACATACCACTATCGAACAAGCCATAAGTTAACCTAAACAATTCCAACAGCATATCTAAGTGATATTGCTAATATAGACTAAAAAGAATTTCAAAATATTAACGCTTGAGAGAGACTGTACATACACGAGTCCTTCAGTAGCTATATGTGTTCAACATGACAACTTTGTAGACATCTAAATACCATATCACAACAAACAAACTAATTGTCAGAAAAAAGAAGAAATAACTCAAATGGAAAATATTACGTTGGAAGAAGTTATACAGTCACAATAAAAGTTAAATCTCCCCTTTGGCCAGAATTCAATTAAGGCAAGCTAAGCTTTCTTCTAAAGTGGCTTGATGGCACAGGCAACCCCTCGAAGAAATCAGCCAAACACTTCTCCAGATCCTCCACTGTGTACTTTATGTACTTTGTTGAATGCCATGCACCCTCTAAATAACCACCAAACCTTGCTAGAAATGCACGATAGGCTGGAAGTATCATTTCGGATATTGAAATCCTCAGCTCAGCTCGCAACTGTGGATCTGGAACCTTCCAAGCTGATTGAGTCTTGTATATTTCTTCAAAGGCAAAGTTAAAGCTCTTGAATTTTTCTTTGAGGACCGTCTTTGACAAACCATGGGAGCTTCCAACTAATCCCTCATCCTTCAAAAAAGACAAGACCTTAGTCCATGAAGTTCTCAAATACTGCATAGAATACTGCCGGATCTGACCCTGACGCTTACGAACCCAGTTATCTCCTAACAGAACCATCAGCTCGGACTCCTTAACCTTCTGGACGATATAGAGTACATTGTTCATCAAGAAAACATATTGCATCCCGGCATCCTCATAAAGTTTGGATTTCTCCTCCAGATTTACTTCCAGATATGACATTAGCAACAGCACTCGGTGAGCCACAGGGGTCATGCTCTCACCCCCTTCTGAGCTATCTCGACCATCTATGCTACCATCCTCAAGAAGCTGATTGAGCAAGGTGCTATACTCAACAAGCAATTTGATGTAATTCATCACGTACCGGTTGAGAGGATGGATCTCACCACCTGGCAATGCCTTCTTCGAAGTCTCTCCTTGAATTGCATTCCCAAACTCCACAAGTGTGCCCCTTACTGCATCCCCCATCCCTAAAAGAACCCTTTCTACCTCCTCGCAGATGAAATCCTTAGAATCCCCCAGGAACAGGTCCCCAATGTCTGGTAGCACATCCGCTAGAACCTCATACATGCCCAGGATGCCAAAGAGCCTCTCTGGCGATCGCTGACCTTCAGCAATTGCCTCTCCAAATTTTAGTAAGTGCATGACGCAGAACTTTGCAACCTCATCAAAGCATTCCTCCTTCAGGTCATCGGAGCCAGCAAGTATTTGTTCGCAGAGCTGCCTCTCAGCTGAGATGACCCCAACAACGAGCTTCAAAGCTTGCATCCAGTTCTTCATCTTCTTATCAAGAGTCTTCCACTCCATCCTTCGCACCTCCTTACTACTAACCGTGTCAGCTCCAAGAACAGTGAGGCAATCGGCCAAGATATTACAGCGAACGCTGGTATAAACCCGGCAGAGGTCATTTCGGGACCCAGCCGTGATCATCCGATCAGCGATCTGCCTAAGGTCGGAAATTGCTTCAGGGCGGATCAAATTGGGGATCTGCGTCTCCGAGAGGGCGATTGTGGTGGCCCGTGCCACAACGCATTGCTCTGACAAAGGCGACCCTTCGACGTCCTCAGCAGCAGCGTCACTCGTGGGGGATCGGAACGAGAGGAAAAGCCTTTGGATGGAGTCGTGAAGGTTTTCGGCGTCAAGGACGTCGGTATTTTGGATCATCAAGTGCCGGAACTCGTCGCCGAGGCGGCTGATGGAGATCTGGAGGGTCACCTCGGCGCAGGCCAGGAGATCGCCTCTGGAGGTCGCGGTGAGGGCGAGGACCTCGTCGACGGCGGAGAGGTACTCGGCGGCGGTGTCGGGGGAGTCCCACAGAAGGGAATCCGGATTGGAGGGATCCCAATGGAAGATAACCCTCTCGGCGGCCTTGAGGCGAGCATCCACCTCGGATTGCTCGCCATCGACGGAGGACGAGGAGGGGGCCTCCCCGTCGACGGCGGAGAAAGGGGCTTCGTCGTCGACAGCGGAGGAAGGGGCTTCATCTTCGCCAGCGGCGCAGGAAGAAGGGGAGAATAGGTCGGGAACCGCGGAGAGGCGGCGATCGAAGGCGGAGAGGATGCGCATCATGTCGTCGGCGGCCTCGGAGGTGGTGGCGAGGCTCCTGACAATGTGCCGCGCGGTGGCGATCACGTTTTCCGACCCGTCGGCCCTCGGGGCCGCCGCCATCGCAGCTCCCCGGAGATCCAAAACGCGGTGGCTAGGGCTAGGGTTAGGGTCGGGAGGACGGCAAAATGAGACCGGAAAACGAGAAAACGAATGCGTCCACGGGACGTGAACCTACCATCTAGTCTACTTCTCACTTCCATTTTTCTAACTTTTATTATTGTTATTATTACGAATATCCACCAGGAAGGTAGAGAGAATTTTCTCAGGACTTTATTATTTTTTTCGCAGGGATATCCTGAGAATTGAGATTTGTTTAATGGGATTAACGAGACATTCATGTGGATGCTTCAGGAAACACTTCGTGTTCTATGAAGATTTCTCGTAGGCAATTGTTGACTTTGGTCTAAGAGGATTATTCTGTTTTCTGTACGGGCTCCCCTTGGTTTCCCTTTAAAAAAAACCAAATTAGTGTCCACAAATCTTATTCTTCGTATTACATTACCGCAGTCCAAATTACACTTAGAAACAAATCCTTCCTTGATTTGTAGTTGTGTTTATTTGACCCACTGCGTTTAGTTTTGGGATTAGAATAATCCCAATCAAATTGAGTAATTAGGATGTCGCTATCTATTGTTAGCGACGAGGTGTTTTTTTAATTACCATATGAGATGGATTTGGAAAACCGGTCTGTGATAGTTGACCCTACAATTTTGAGATCAGAACACTAAGAAAAAAAAACAAATGGCTAAAAAATTATTTGACAGATTTTTTAAAAAAAGACCTAGCACATGAAAGATGAGATAAACGTATAAATGTAAATAATAAAATAAATTAATTTGTTAATTGGAAAACCATTACATACCTTATTCTTTGTATAAAAGTTGACTAGTCCATTAGGCTAACAATTAATTTTTTTATGGAAGTACAGAATCTCAAATGCTAATAACAATTCATAGTATAAAAAATCCTTTCATTTAATTAAAAGTATTTACATCTTTATTTAGGTTATTGATACGGGTTAATATAGAATAGATTTCGAAAGAAAATTGATAGGATAACTGTTTACTGGAATAAATTTTTTTTGATAGAAAAAGAATGATCTCATGATAATATTTTAATAAAATAAAAAAATAACTCATCATCAAGTTTAAAATCAGAAAGGATAATAAACAAGAATACAAAATTGAAAACAAAAACTTATCACTCAAGAAAACATCTAAGAGATATAGAGTTTAAAAGAGAACTTATAGAGAGCTTCCACCAAAATCATCAGTTTCTAAATTTCTTTCTAGCCCTAAAATACCAAAATAAGTACTAGTGCACAAAACAATCCTTCGTGTATAAGAAATTACGAAATTAAGTATTTTATAAACTAGTAACTAACCCCTTTAGTGCATGATCATGATCATGAAGAAAAGCATCTTGAAACAACTTTAATTTTGTCTAAAGAATATATTGGGAAATCTAGGACGACATCACATACGCAGCGGAAGAACAAAAAATAAAATCCTAGAATTCCTACCAAAAAATAAGATTTCATCGTCATGCAAAGATTGGTGGACAAAAACCTAAAAATTGAAAAACCATGCATATAAGAAAGATGCGTTCGTTACCTAGGGAGATCGTATATCCCTGAAAACTTACAGATCTATAGGAGATGATGAAAGAGGTCAATTGTCCTCCTATCTAATGGTGATCCACATAGCAGGGGCTGCGAAGATGCTTTATAAATCCCTACCCAAATATCTTCCTCGCGTGCACGACTCAATCAAGAAAGGGCTGCCACTTCTTGTTATCCACACACCCTAAATAGGGGCTATAGTATGAGGAGAGGGAGAGAGAAGAATAGGAGGAGGCGGCCAAAAAGAACTTAGCTCATAGCTCGTTGGTTTCCTCATATTTATAGAGGCCCCCTATCAACTTACCATAATGGATCCTGTCATATTCGATATTGGATCTCCATCCAACTACCCATGCTACTTAGATTAGTGGGTCTCTACCAAATAATCTCTCACTGGCTTTTATTGGATATCATCCATAGGATCCAATAATTCATGGGCTTAATGGATATCCAATATGATAGGAGCTCTAGAGGATATCTCATATCAGAACCTATACTCGTTGCAACACCTACCATATGTGTATGACCCTCTAGGCCCAATATCAAGCTTGTCGTAAGTCATACTTGTTAGAACTCCTTTTGGCTCAGTGAATTATTATCTCCATAATAATTCATTCAACTCATCAATTATGGGCGTTCTAAGCCATTACACCGCAGTCCTCAAACGATACAGGAGAATCCAATCCATTGGACCTATCTATCCTTAGTTACCATGTATTTATAATCTATAGTCCCTCATCCATCTAATACTCTAAATATCATATATTGGGCATGGTGCTATCAGGCCCATATGATTTCTACTCGAGTCTCGCCCTAATCGGATTCTCCTAGAGAACTCTTTCTCTCTCAATCTGAATGACTCTAGCAATGGATTTGTCTTAGCAAGAACACATGTGATATTCTTCTCATGACACCAAGGGCAAATGATCCTTTATCGACACTCAATTGCCCTCGTAAGATTGCTTGCCACTCCCGATGACTAGCTGTGATAGATTTGAAACTTCCAAACAATAAGAAAATATAGGGGCGACATCACATATGAAGTAGAAGAACAGAAAACAAAAAATCTAAATTTCTCAAAAAGATGTTCGTCGTCATGCGAAGATTGGTAAGCAAAAATATGCAAAACTGAAAACCATGTGTGTGATAGGGTTTTACCTAGGGAGATCGTAAATCCTTGAAATCCTACAGATCTGTGGGAGAGGATGAAGGAGGTCAAGCGTCCTCCTCTCTAGCGGTGATCCACACGGCATGGGATGTAAAGATGCTCCTCAAATCATTGTTTAAATCTTTACACCTACTATCTGTGGAGGAGAAGGGGAGAGGAGAATAGGAGGTGACAACCAAGAATGCCTCAACCTATAGCCATTTTGTTCTCTCCTATTTATAGAGGCCCCCTATAAACTTAACCCTAATGGATCCTGCCCTATTGGGTATTGAATCTCCATCCAACTATCTCTTAGATTAGTAGATCTCTATCCAATAATCTTTCATTGGCTCTTATTGGATCTCATCCTTAGGGTCCGAGGGCTTATTAGATATCCATTAAGATAAGGGCTCCAGCGAAGATCTCATATCTGAACCTCTACTTGTCACAACACCTACCATATATATGTGACCCTCTAGGCTCAATATCGAGCTGGCTGTTGAATCTCATATTTTGATGATAAAACCAATTGATAGTATTTATGATTTAATCTATGATTTTAGTGACGCAGGAAGCTTCGATCAGTGAGAGACAACTAAAGCAGAAAGAATCATATTGGTCAGAGAAAAATATATTAGAAGATTGGATGTCGCGTTGGAGGATCGGTTGATGTATCGACAGAAGGCTTCAGGCCATGGTTTCGGGCATCGGGCCAAGAAGAGCGGATATTGTGCCAAGGATAATGGAGTTGTAGAGGTCAATTTGCCGATTAGGTAATAGGCCGCAAGAGAGGACAATGCGCCGAAGAATCGGACGAAGCGTCGATGGACCAATGACATACCGGACAACATGATTCATGCTTAGTAATAATTTTCTAGATCGAAGTGTGTTTTATGTGTGTAGGATTAACTACAATAGTAAGACATAAAGCAAAATGAAGTCTTAGAGTCAAGAACCCAATTTCGTTGGGAGTTTGAAAGTTCATCGAAAGTCCGGACGTTCATCGGAAGTTTTGTCGAAACTAACCAAGAAGTCCAGGAGCTTGCCAAAGAAGCTCATTGGAACTCTCTAAGAATATCGTCATGAAGTCCAAGAGCTTGCTGGGAGTCCATTGGAACATTGCTCAGAGATCGTCAGAAGTTCGTAGGAAGATTGCTGGAAGAAACTTAGACTTATGGACTTTGTTTAGCTTAATAAATATCTTAAAATTTATAGTTAGCATATAATTGGGATTAGAATTGGGCCAACCCAATTAGGGAATAGTTGGGTCAAGAAAAAGGCCCAAACAGTGATCAAACAAGTGAAACCGTCGTGGCACAATCTCCGAGACTATGTCAGATGGTGGTACTGCTCAGACACAGTCTTCCAGGCAATTGTGCCACCTAGTGTGAGGCTGCAGGTGATGGTACCGCCCAATGCAAGTGGTGGTACCACCCGTACCTTGAAATTTCAGGGGATTTGAATTCTGGCTCCATTTTTTAAGCCATTTGGGGTCTATAAATACCCTAGCTATTCCTGCATGGAGAAGCAAGAAAAGTGAACAAAAACTCAATGTTTCTAGAGTTGAAAACCTATGTAAAGTATAGAGTCCCTCCTAAAGTTTAGAGACCATTTTAAGAGAGAGTGTGAGGGAAGCTCTGTAAAAGGGGGGTGTAAAAGTTCTCTCTTGAGCATGCAAAAGGAGAATAGAGTTGTAAGAAGGAGATTGATCTTCATCTATTAAAGGAAGATCATTTGTGGATGCGGGTGGCCTCGACGGAAGGAGAATCGACAGAGTGGATGTAGGTCATAATAACCAAACCACTATAAAAACTTGGTTTACATTTCTATTCTTGCTATTTACCTTAACTACAAACTACTTACTCGCTTTACTTCCATTACGCTTACGAATACAATTTCAAAGTTAACATCTCTCCGAAACAGTTTTCATCGAAATCGATTTTAATCGAACAAAGATTTTTAAACCGACATATTTGAAAGATTTCAAAGATTTTTAAACCGACATATTTGAAAGATTTCAAAGTTAACATCTTTCCGCTGTACTAATTCACTCCCCCCCCTTCTGCCCCCCCCTCCCCCCCTCTCTCTTAGTGCCAACTCGTTCCTAATAGTTGGTATCAGAGCCACATATTTCTTATTTGGTTTAACACCCAAGAGAAATGGCTCTTTCCGGCTTTCAAGAGAGTCACTCTCTCAATCGTCCTCCCATGTTCAATGGGACAGACTACACATATTGAAAAACTCGAATGAGAGTTTTCTTGCTTTCTTTGGATTTAAATTTATGGAGTATTATCGAAAATGACTTTCAAAAATCTTCTAAACCAATGAACGAATGGAATAATTTGGAGAAGAAGATTTTTTCTTTAAATGCTAGAGCTATGAATGCTCTATTTTGCACCTTAGACGAAAACGAATTTAATCGTGTTTCTA